GGGGGCGGGGGGGGGGCGGGGGGAGCACCCCCCCGGCTTTTTCCGGGGTAAGCCCTGCGGAGGAGGGACCAAGAACCACCACCACCTTAGGTTTCCCAGAAGGGGGGGGCCCCCCGTTCGTCCCCCCTTTAAGGACCCTGTTCCTAAACCCACCCCCCCGCTTTAAGGCCAAAAAAATTTTCAGAACCGGGGCCCCTCCCATCCTTGGTTTAAGATGGGGGGGGGGGGGGGGGTACCGGTCTGAAGGACACTTCCCAGCGCTAACAAAACTTTCAAAAAAAAAAAAATTGGGTGTCCTTAAAGCGGGGTTGACTGTAGGAACAACTTGTTGTGTTATGGTCCAGTGGAGTGAAAGGGCTGATGGGTTCTATCACACCTAGTACCTAAGGAATTTCGGCAACAACGGCAGGGAAAACGAAACGAACTGTTATTTGCAACGGGGTTAGAATGCCCTCTGTCGTGGTGGTCGAGTTTTGAGTGAAACGGCTGACGGTTCAATCGCGCTGTACATCGCCACCGACTTCGGCAGCAACAAAGACAACGACAAGAAGAGAGAGAGAGACGAAGAGAACGGCCACACACGAACGGGAGGGCAAATGGGGGTACGCCGCCTTTCAAGAGCACGAAGGCCCGGCTATAGCACCCTCGGCGACCCAACGAAAGAAAAACGAAACGTTGTGAGGGGTGAAGCTACACGGAACGAACAGACTGTGACGATGGCGAAAAAACAGTAAGAGCCGTTATGGACTCAAACCGCTTGCCACCGACAGTGTGGAAGGTGCAATTTTGCCTGTATGCGCCATGTTCTTTGACTAGCACTGCCTCTGCAATAGTGTGGCGACGTGAGTTGAAACGGGGTCTGAGGGGAAGGCCACGCCGAGGAGGGGTTGGAAATCCAAAAAAATAAAAAATAACTAGCTCGCCGTGGTTGCACGAAGCACAAAAAGTAATCCCTCCACCCAGTGGGTTACAATATAAGGTCACCTTGAAAGTGAAGAGGTAGAGTTAAGAAAAATGTTCGATACACGGCCATCTCTTTCAAGATCTACTTGCCCGCAAAGACTGAACCCGGACCAGGCGAAAAAGGGGAATGGTGGCTACCGCTAGCTACGGCTTCTTGTCGCGTCACGCTCCGGGGGAGGGGGTCAGGCATGTAACCCCGTGAGCAAAAGGCAGGGGAAGGCATGTCAAGAGCGGGGTGGTGAGCTTGAGATGGGGCAATCGCCAAGAGCCGAACCACACGCACGATCGTGAAGGAGCGAAAAGGGCCAAAGACCGCCAGCACAGCAGTCGTTTTTGGTGCTACAGTAACAACGACGAACGCGCGGCACATATCATATCATACGGGAAAGAACGTAGCCGGGCTTGATGACCTGACCAACCACGCACCAAGCGATGGCGACGAAGACGACGACGATGTTGAGTTAACCTCGTACCAAGGCCGGGGGGGGAGGTCTCCGGCGGCGATCGCGATGTCAAAAGCCTGGCCGTTGGAATCAAGAAGAGAGAGACAGACAGAGAGAAACACAGAGAGAGAGAGAGAGAGACAGAGAGACAGAGAGAGAGAGAGAGAGAGAGAGACAGAGAGACAGAGACAGAGAGAGACAGAGACAGAGAGAGACAGCGAGAGGGAGAGAGGGAGAGAAGAGGCAGACAGACAGACAGACAGACAGACAGACAGAAAGTGAGACAGACAGAAAGTGAGACAGACAGAGAGTGAGACAGACAGAGAGTGAGACAGACAGAGAGTGAGACAGACAGAGAGACAGAAGAAAAGCGAATAAGGGTGCGGGCGGGTGCCGAAAGCATCATCTCATCACGCATGCCGGTTGCTGGAACAAGAGTCGTGACCGCTGACGTGAATGAACGCCTGAAGATTCACATCCCAACACTCCGCCAATGCAAACGCCGACTTCGTGCAAATCCATCTCTTCCTTTGGTTCCTTTCGAGCGGACGGCAGCACGCCGATTCGGAACAAAAACGCTGGTTGTTGTTGTTGGTATCTTCACAAAAAAAGAATAAATCTGGTGTCTGCTCATGTCCTTCTATACATGTAACACCCGTCGTACCGGTTCCAACTGACGCCTGCCTTGTTCACAGGCCAAAGGCCCCCCAAAATTCGTGAACCACAACTATGGTTCCTGCAACCAAATACGGTCGTTTAGCTTGTCGGTGACTCCGGGGAGGTTGAATAATAGCCGGTGCGGAGGCCCCTCCCCTCCCCTTCCGTTCCCGACAGCAACAAGCAGGCCAAGGCTGTGAAAGCCGTCATTTCTCTCATGCTTCTTCCATCAGACAAAAATTGACGTGGACACAACAACGAGCACCGATTCTTCATGGCCTCTGTGTCTCAAGCCAGTGTGTCCTACTTTCCCTACGCGACCCTTCTTTCCCCTTCATATTTTCTGTAGTGCTGTTCCTGCTCGAGAAAGAGCGCTATCGATGGCTGTACACGGGCACCAGCCAGCCAACGCCAACAACGAGAGTCACCCCCGTTAACGTTCCACAGATCAACAGCCACGCCGACTCGGCACAAACAACAATAACAACTCACAGCGTCCGTCGGGGCAAGGACAGTCAGAGGCCCCTCCTCCGTAAGCGTCGTGTTCACGAGCGGCCACGCCAACCGCACCAGCTCCCCCATAGCCCCAAACCCGCTCCCCGGGCCGCCGCTCCCGCCTCGTCCCCCGGCGGCGGAGAGCGGGAAGGGGGGGTTCAGCAGCACTCCCGCCACGGTGTCGGGTGGGGCCATGACGGCGGCGGAAAGGCGGTGGACGACCCCGTTGGTTGCCGTGATGTCGGCCTCCGACACCGGAACTCCTTCCACCAGCAACGACAACGCGGAGTGAACCGGCGGTCGCAGCTCTGGTGGTGGTGGTGGTGGTGGTGGTGGTGGTTGGTGTAGCAAAGGGTCTTCTTGCTGCCGCTGTTGCGACGCTAGGCACGACGGAGAAGAAGAAGATTGAGACGAGGACGCCCTGGAGACGTTCAGGAGCGGCCCCGCCAGCGAGGTGAACTGGTGGAAGAGAGAAAAACGAAACAAAGCGAAACGTCGGCGTAGCAGCCGCAGCACCACCATCACCGCCACCATCACAACACCAGCAGCATCGGCACCAACACCAGCAACGACCGCAGCAGCAGCGACAGCAAAAAAAAAAGGGGGGTCATGAAGGTTGAGAAAAGCTCCAAGAAACGAGCGGAAGGACGCGGACAGACACCAACACCCACGAGAGCCATGCCGTCCCTACGCATACCTCTTGTCTGCCTATCCCTCTCTCAAGGATCCGCCTGGGGTTACGTCACGGCGCTGCATTTCTGCAGCCCGTTCAAGCGCAAGCAATCGCGCGGGTAGTCAGCAAATCGATACCTCCTTGCATACACACTCGGGGTTATCAAGATCGATCAACTGAAACAACTGACGCCGCGTGTCTCCTCAAAGTGGTCGGCACGCTTTCGACCCACACGCCACACGAAACCACAAGTGCAAAATTTAAAACTCCGCTCACGTCCCATTTGAAACAAAAACCTAACAAGAGAGCGAGAGCGAGAGCGAGAGCGAGAGAGAGACTTTACCCACCTGCCCGTCTTCGAAGGAATCGGCATAGAACTCGCGGTAGTAGTCACGCGACAGGGATCCCGAGGTGGGATCGACCTTGTACAGCTGCTGCGAGAAGTGGGCCCCGCTCAGGGACAGCGGGTAGACCCCGGCCGCGAGCGTGTGGAACGACAGCAGCACCTCCAAAGCTTTGGGGTCATCTTGATTTACATGTACAGCGGCCACAAGACAAGCAAGACCAAAATGGGTGAATTCCGTCACACAGTCATGAAAAGGGACGGGGGGGGGGGGAACAACAGATTATCACAGTAGCGCATTCCAGTGTAAGTTTGTTTCCAACCGTTCACAGCAGAGAGACAACCGTCAGAACCCACGACGGAATATATCTGCGTCACCACGGCAAAGGCTCCTCCGCCCGCGAGCAACAGCTGACTTCGTGAGCGAGCGCACGAGGGCGGGTTACGTCCATTAACTATGCCGTAGTGTCACAACACGAGGAAAAATTTAGCAAGACAACACCGCAAAAAACACTGAACCTGACAAGCCCACTCGAAACCACAGGCACGATACTCCCACAGGACGTTGAGGCTAGCGGGACATCTACGGGACATCTGCGCCCGCCAAGTACGGTTTGGCATAACTGAGTACCTGCGTCTCAAAACGTGCCAACACTCAACCACCCCAAGCCTATGCATGAGCCTTCAGGATCGAGAAGAGGTGTACACATGGCGTACTTGTACAGACCGGCCAAAAAAAAAGGACTTACAGAAGCACACACGTTTTCACAGCACCTTGCGGAAACTCCGGGGAGGCTTTTATGGCGTCGTCGTCGGGGGCGAAGAGGGTGTACGCCATAGCCCCCGCCCCGCCGCCGTTCGCGTCCAGAGTGGCTGCCAGGCTCGTAGAGTTCAGCGCGGCCGCGAGCAGGGAGAACGACGGGTCCGAACACAAGGTTTTCCATATTGTGCCTGCGGTTTGGTTCGTCGGGGGGTGGGGTACCGACAAAAGCACGATTGTTTGAACACTCGAAGAAGAGCCCCTCTCTCCCCTGTCTGACAGAGCTCCGACCGCGTGCGCATCGGGATGAGGTGGTTGGTTGGTCCGTGAGCAGGGTTGATGACCATGAGTCCGGCGATAAGCCGTTTTCAGACCGTTCGTGCGGGCATTTGACGCGTCGGGAATGAGGAGCGGGGGGTGGTTGGGCTGATTGAATGTCCAGGCAAGTATGCGGCTGTCGGCGTAGGAGTCCAAATCGTTTTCTCTACAATGAGCCTCCCGCTAGAGCAAAGCGAACGGAGAGAGCAAGGGAGGGACTCCCAACCTCTTGATCGTTCAAGCTCCTTGTTTTTCTCGTCGTCGTCGTTGTCGTTGTCGTTGTTGCCGTCATCTTCACAGCTAAACACAAACAAACAAACAATACATTGTTCCCGTTTATCTTCGTCCCGGGTGATTCAAACATACGGGTGGGCAAAACAGTGTTCGAGGTCACGGACGATCTGAAACCTCGCCGTCCCGCCACAGCCGTCGCTCCTCCAACAAACAGCGATGCCAGCATGGCACAGGCGCCACGGTTTTCGTCCCAGCTGGGAGTTGAAACAAAAATCGACAAACTGAGTGCGAAGCATCCGCGTCAGCTGCACCAGCCAGGAGGTCAGTTATTGCTGCGCACGGGATCTGAACGTTTTGTTATCGTGAACACACCCGCACCAAAACAACGACAACGCTAACGACAACAACAACAACAACATCAACATCACCAACAACGCTGTCGTACAAATCAAACTCGAACTCTCCGTCCCTCCCCCGTCTCACCGACCGGAGGTCGAAGGACCCGATCAACCGGGAACAAGTAGCTCGGCTCCCCTCCTCCTCCAAATCCTCCTCCTCCTCCTCCTCCTCCTCCTCCTCCTCCTCCTCCTCGTCCGTCTCTTCTTCTCCCGACCGCGACCGAGGGCCCGCCGACAACAGTGGGCGTCGCCGTGACGTTCGCGGAATCGACGAATTGGATGGGAAAGAGCTCCGCCGGCACGTCCGGCGACTTGGGAATGCCGTAGTAGCGGGGGGAGAAGTCCTCCCCGAGCAGGCTTGGAAACTCCTCCCCTAACCCAAGAAAATACGCGGAACGGGCATGCCACCGTTTGAGAATTGAATGCATCCATGCATCTGTTCGTTCGTGCACCTTTCGCTCTCCATTCTCTCTGTTTGGTGCATCTCTACGCAGAGTCCATGCCGGGCCTATATCCTCTCCCCAGTACCAGTGTGTAACGGCCGAACCTCAGCCCATGGGTTCACACGCAACACCGTGCCTCTGAGGCTCCCGTACTGCTTCCACTTCTTCTGCGGCTGGGAAGCTCTCTCGACTCACCGATGTAAGGGGTAGCGGAGGCCATCGTGGACACGTGGTAGCTCACCAGGGCGGTCGCCGACTGCTCATCTCGGCACCTGAGCCCCGTCGCAGCGGATGCATCGAGGCCGAAAAACATTTGAGCTGTGTATACAAGACGAGCGGTAGTATTTTGCATGTTTCGACATTTGTTCAACCCCGCCGCACAGAGAAGGGAGGTGTAGCGCACCACTTCACGTGTCCATAGGCACACCTTCGTGCAGGGCATGGATGACAGCCGAGCCGTTGTCACAGGGTGCGTGCATGTTTGGTCTCCGCCTAAACGCGGTCGAAGGTTCGTGTGCGCTTTGCATGCTGATCCCGAGTGCCCTACATACCGTACAGCAGTATATAGCAGCGGCTCAGAGGTACGTAGTAGTTGTGGCCGTTGTTCGCTGGCGGGACTCATTTACCTGTCGTCAAATATTGTGCCGTTGTGGTCGGCCTCCCCGTTGCCGCCGCCGCCGCCGCCGCCACTATATATTCTCCAGGCGGGCTGCTCGAACGCCAGGTCTGTGGGCGCAAAGAGCGTCAGCGGCTGCGCGGTCGCCGCCGAACCAGGCGATGCCTTCAGCAGGTCCATCACGGAAGGGCCAGCCACCTCCAGGCACGCCGTCAGCTTGGAGAAGTCGGGATCCCCGCTGATGGTATCCCAGAGGCTGTCATCATGCTCGGCAGGGGCAGGAGTAGGGGCGACAGTCACGCCGCCTACCCGGCACCACATCGGAGAGAGGGACAGCACCACCGACAGCAGCACTACTTTCGCTGAGCGGGCACACATAAACGTTCCAACACCAGCGACAGCGACACGAAGACGATCTCTCGCCCAAGCCCCTCTTGCTATCCTTCTTATCCTCGTGCGGGGTGATGCTCCCGATGAAAACAACTGTCCAACTGCAACTTCAGCGGGGCACAACAGATGATTTCCTCCGCGCCGTCGCCGCCGCAACAAGGGTCTATGTCGATCCATTCTAGCAGCCGCAGGACCTCGAGACAGACTCCCCTCCACCAGCTCTGCCATATCCGACGGTATACCAGAGAGGCGTGGCTCTCTCCCCTATGTTCCCTGTGCCCTTCTCGAGCGGGCTTGCTTTCTGCCCCCGGTGGCCGCACGTAATGGGGATATGTAAGCTTTTTTTTGTGCGCGATTCAGCGGAGCCCCCCGGCCGCCCTTTGGTGCAGCGCCATTGCCGTGGCAGCAGCCCAGCATAGGCCATGCCGAGGATAGTGGAGTTGGAGGACGAGCCTCTTGATGGGGACGATTATGGTGGGTCTGGGGACCACGGCTACGACGATGAGTACGACGACAGCAGTACCGCCGATGGAAATTCCTTGGACGGCGATGAGGAAGCCGCCGGCACCGGCAGCGCGGCCAACGGCGGTAGCAGTAGCGCCGCCGCCCCTGTCACCCTGCCGGAGTCCGAGTACCGTGAGAGCCTGGGATTCCTGCGTGCGTCGAGGAAGCTGGCGCTCCCGGGCACAGGTTTCGATGCAGCAGACGACGGCCGTGTCGTTGCGCTGGCTGCTCTGGACCGATTTGGGCTACTGCTGGTATCCTCCGCCACAGGTGTGTTGTGTATCCGCCGCAATGGCGAGCGGCAGTATATAGAGCAGAGGCAGCTCTGCTGTACATGTCGCGTACCGGCAACCGGCAACACTTGTTTGTGTTGCAGGAGTACGTTGGACTCGTCGAATGTTGCCTACCGTCTGTTGACCCCCGTCCTGGCCAAGCAGAGGGGAGGGCCATCGAGTTTTCAAAGTGTAGTGTTGGGTAGTTGGGCGTGCACCTCGCGCCCCTCCTTTCGGCAGCTAACGAGGCAAGTTAGGCGGTGTAACGGCTACCTCCGTGCAACGTGCTGCCAAAGCGACTGATAACTGCTGTGCTGCCGCCTCCCTCGTCTTATTCGATGGTGTTGCGATTGTTTGTTTATTTTATTTTATCTCGCATGCTTGATCCAAAGAGTGGAGCGGCGTTGCACAAGAATTTGGGCAGAGACGTGGCCAAAAGCAGCGTGCGCGGCAAATCTAAACGGGAAAGGATAGCATGTTCATGTAGGAACATGTGTACATGTACGCTCTGCAGCCGGGTTTCGGGTCTAGTACTGAGGTCTCACAAATGTCCACGTCCACTACTGCGGCCATTGGTTGCACAGAACCCCCCACAATTGTTTCAAAAAATCTATTTAGAAGCGTCTTCGAGATGAACGACAGCGGTGAGGTAAGGTCTGTCCAGGCGTTGCGCCCGAAAGCGTCGCGCCTGAAGCATCCACCGACTCTGACGGTTACAGCGCACCTGGGTTATATTTCACGCATGGAACATTTTTGACTGTACATAGTACATTCGGAGATACCGCACTGCCGACTTCGGCAGGGCTCAAAGTAATATCTATCGCCGGGGTATGAGGATTCCTGCGCAACCGGCGGAATTTCACGTGTACCCCGCTGTGTGGAGCAGCACCATCACACCATAGACAACGTCATATTATGCGCCTCTTCCACCCCCACTGGACTTCTATCCCGCTCCCGTTACCCCACGACACGGGTGGTTGTGCCAGGCAACCCGAAGGCGCACTTGTCGTATTACTGATGCCGTCAAATAAGGCCCTCTGGCGCTCCCTCCCCTTCGCGAAAGAATCGAGCAGCCGCTCGTGGTCCAGGCGGGGAGAGTGGTGTGCGGTGTGAGAGAAACCCTAAAGCGAATAAGACCATGCTTTCGGCTTCCGCTTCAGCAGACGGAGTTGATCTTCTCGATAGGATTGATAATTTGATTGCACCAACCGCTCGCTCCTTTGCAGGTTAGGAGATCCAGTTCCATCCCCGGTGTTTCTGTCTCGTACCCAACAGCAGTGTACCTCGTCGTGGCTCATAGTGGCCGGGTGGATTGCTCCCTGCATCTACGCCCAATCACGGCAGTACTCAACCAGTACCGTGTGCAAACCCTAGCCATGACCCCAGTTCCTATCTCCCTTGGTCTTATTTCCGTCTAGATGTCACAAGTGTCGATGCGTGTACGGCTTTTCCGACCCCCGACCTCGCGACCCCCCCCGCCCCCTCCCGGCCTCTTATCATCGGTGGTATTGGTGGTGTTGCAGGGATCTTAGTGTACGCCATCGAAGACCTGTCGTCCGCCGCTTTCGGTCAGGGCGGGCAGCAACAGCAGCAGCAGCAGCAGGACCCCGCGTCGCCGGTCCCTGTCCGGGCCGACGTGGCCCTGGCGGGGCGGCCTTCGCGCATGGTGGCGTCGCGAGACAACCTGCGTGTCGCGATTGCCGTGGGAAACAAGGTGCGTGGGTAAGACTGCTACATTTTGAGTAAAGACTTCGTAACGTTTTCCTTTTGGTTCGTTGGGCTCTTCGAATCAGAAGGCTCTTGTTGCATCGACTAGCACTGGTGCCGCCTACGGCCGATGAAGCGCGAGCCGTGCAGCCGCCGGTGACCACATATGGACGTATATGTAGAGGCCCCTCTCGATGTGGCCAGACATTGTGTGTGTGCTTGTCTTTGTTGTAAGAATCGGGCGCGCTAACCGACTGACTAATGGAGATACGTCAGTCTCAGCAGTGCAGCTAATAATGGGAAATGCTTCGAAGGGCCGTGGGTGTGTTTTTTGTGCTTATTTGATCGCGTGTATTATCAGCCGCGCTAACTAACTGGCCAATGAAATATCGTCAGTCTTCTTGCATAGCATGTAACGCGAATATGTCTGCTTTTGTCTGTGTTTGTTTTGCTTGGTTCGACCGTGCTTCTATAATCGGCTGACGAATGAGCAATATGTGTGTGCTTGTGATTTTTTTTCCAAATCACCAGCTTGGACACGGCAGTATTCCTAAAGAACCCGCCCTGGCAGCTTAGAAAAGAATATTACATCTACTGCCCCGCCACAATGCTTCTGACTCCCCCTCAATGGCTGTCTTTTTCCAACCAGGTCCTTGTTTTGGACACCGCCTCCCTCGTGAACGGCGCCGCCGCCGCCGCCGCCCCCGTGGCAACTGTGGCCCTGTCCTCTCCCGACGCCGGCGACAGCGGCGACCTGCCTCCCCGGGCGCTGTCCTGGGGCCGCAAGAGCTCCGGCGACGGCGACGACCTCCTACTGGTCGTGCGCGCGGACCGGTCGGCCGCCGTAGCGCGCATCAGCGGCGGCGGCGGCGGCGGGGGAGGGGGAAGCTCTGACCGGTGCTCCGTGGAGGATGTCGCCGGGGGCCAGAAGGTGTTTACCGCCGGGTGTTGGCTGGGGCAGGGGCGGGGGCGGCTCGCGATGGGCACTCGGACGGGGGACCTGGAGGTGTATGTGTACGGGGAAGGGGGGGAAGGCGGCGGCGGCGGTGGATTGAGGGACTGCGAGGCCGTGGTTTGTTGCCCCTCGGAGCTGTGCATGGGCGATGCTGATGCGGAGGTACGCTTGGTGTTTTTTTTTGCCCAACCTCTCTCGGCACTGTTTGCTCCTGTGTTTTCCGCCCCTTGTGGGTGTCCTAAGAGTTTGGTGCTTGGTCATTCGCTAGGTATTTTTTTTTACTTGTGTGGGACGCCCTCATTGGCTGACGACAACGCTCAAGCAGAAGTGTTCCGATTTCCTTTGGTCCTGTCTGGCATTGTCAAGAGTCCCTGTCTTCCGAACACTATCTTGCTTGGTCTCCCGACTGCCAGCATTTCGATTTCTTCAAGTATGCTCCGAACCTGATCAAAATCCTAGGTAGTAGCTTAACGACAGCCAATTAACGGCCTCCTCCACCACCACCACAACCTCAACACCAGTTTGCAACAACCGCGAACAACAGGTGAACCACTTGGTCACGACTCAGATGGGTTCGCTGCTGGCGGTGTACTATGACCCAACAACCGAAGAAAACAATGAGGTGAGTTCGGCTGTTTTATTTGTACCTTGTGTTGCGAGCATTCTGCGCTGCGGCGAGGAGAACCATCAGGAAATTGGATGTGTTGTTTTGCTATGGTCTTGGGCGGCGTCTCTCAAGCTCTTTCCACGAGATGTTAAGGTCGCATGGGCAAGGGACTGCGAGAGGGAGGTCGACACGTCTCTCTAATTTGGCGGCCAGCCCAATGAGTTCGCTTGCGCGACGGAGCATCAGGAAGTCCAAAGCAGCCTGGAGTTGCGCTACTGCTGTTGAAATCCGCCCGATATGCAGACGCTGACATGCTTCCATTTTTGTCGGCAGGTTACCAGCGGCGACTGCACCACCGCAAGAAGCGCACGCAAACACTCTCATGCCGGTCCTGTGTCTTTGTCTTGTGTGTGTGTTTCATTTTTTTTTTGTTCAGTTCGCGGCAAGGATGGCCGAGTTCGACGTTTCAGCGGAAGACCTCACAGGGGGGCCGACGCTGAAGGCCTTCGAGGACCCCGACCTGGATGGCAAGATTTTTCCCTCGTTCGACACTCCGAAGTCGGTCAAGTTCCGGTCCCACGTGGCGGTAAGTGGACAGAGGCGCAAAAGGCGGGGAGGGGGGTGTATTACCCGCGCCGCCGACTCACCCCTTCACGGGTGGGGCGCCGGGACGGGGATTTTGATCTAGTGTACTGTGGGGCGGGGAGTCTGGAATGTCACGGACGATGACACGCACGTCGCGTACCGCGTTTGCCACCCAACGACAGTGTGAATCCCTACATTAGCTGTGCTCTGTGGGGCATACAGTGGCCAGCGCGGTTGCTGCTGTGTTCCGGTAGCTTTTTGGTGTTGCTATGCATACCGTAGTGGTCGCTTTTTTGTTGGTGGTGTTGGTGTCGTTGTCTTCTGGGTTTTGTTGTCCTGATGTGTTTTCGGTCGCCGCTTGTATCTCTGTCTGTCTGTCTGTCTCTCTCTCTCTGTCTCTCTCTGTCTCTCTCTCCCCCTCTCTCTCTCCCCTACCACGTGTTTGTCCCCAACGAAAATTCCTCACCCGCGTGCTGCTGCCCCCTGTCGACACATCCCCCGCCGCTGCCTCACGCGCAGCTCGCGACGCTAGAGGGAGAGCACGTGATGGTCGTGAGCCACAATAGCTTGGACGGCACTCCGTCCGTGCTCACCACCAAGACCGGGGCCGTGGCCGGCGACAACGGCAGGTGGAGCTCGTACGAGCTCCCGGATGGCTTCGACTGGGACCTCGGCGGTACGTTTTTTATTTACAACGAACTCATCCCTATCCACAGATGGGAATCCAGGATGGAAGTTAGCGAAGTTGATGTTTTCGCCCCTCTCTGTTTTGCTTGCCTCTTTACGATGTGCTGTTATAGTTGGTGCTGAACCCTCTTTAGCGACCCTTTGTAATTATGGTCAGGAGGGAACAGTTCAGGGCAGGTCGCCATGGCCTTTACAGCGGCTATGTTGTCCGGATGCAATGGTGCCTCGCGATTTGCATAACATGTTGCTTAGCAGGGGCCACCACTGCTGCTGTATCGCTTATCCTTGGAACGAACGGTACTCAGCTCAAGCATTCATTTCCGAGTAGGCTTCACCACTTAAGAACCCCGTGGTTTGCTCCGAGGCTGGGTTCTAGAATTGTTGTCTGCAGGGTATGGTCCTGTGGGGCATGGCCCAACAGCGAAGATGGCCCAGCCGCGACTACTACGGGCGTTGTCGTCGGCTTCGTGGAGGAGCACCTGTTCTTATGGTCCATTTGTTGTTGTTGGGAAGGCCACTGGACGTGAATTTGGATCTTCCTAGGCAGTGGTGGTGCGGAATGTAGTCCCTCCCCAAGGGGTCACCAAAAACAGGAAGGACCGGCAATGTATCTATCGTTCATGGGACGCACGATCCAGGCCGCCATCAGGGGATGCAGCCGGAAATCGTCAAACCTCCAACGCGCGCGCCGAAGCCCATATCGATTTAAGCCGTGCTCCACCATGTTTCCCATCTCTCTCTTGTGTGTGGGTCTCTCTCTCTCTCTCTCTCTCTCTCTCTCTCTCTCTCTCTCTCTCTCTCGCTCTCTCTCGCTCTCTCTCTCTCTCTCTCTCTCTGTGCGTGTGTGTGTCCCTCCCTCCGGCCTGCTTCGGCCGAACAGGCGTTTTTTCTAGGGGGTTGTGCTTCTCCGAGTGCTGCGACACCCCGGTGCCCGCTCAGACCAAGAAAGGGGCCACCGACTACGGGGCCGGGCCGCTGGCCTTCATGCTCATGGCCAACGGGGACCTGCAGTGCGCGGCGATGGTGCACCCGCAGCAGCCGGAGGTCAGCCTGAGGAGGAAGACAGCGCCACGAGCCCAGGCGTTACCTGCTAGGGCGGTGGTTGAGGAGGAGGAGGAGGAGGAGAAGGAGGAGGGTGAGGGCACGGATGTGGAGGTGGAAGAAGACAGCGAGGAAAAAGTGCAGGTGCGTGTGATGATGGTTGGGAGCGTCAGGCTGGGGGGGAGGGGTTGCGCACAGAATCGTTCTTCAGTCTCTTGGCCGAAGTCCCGGCCAGGTACGCGGACATGGCCGGAGTGGACCTGTCCCGGTTTCGTCAAAAACGACTTGGTTTCTCTTTCTCAACAGCACCAAGGGCGAACCGCCCTGGTACTTGACGAGTTGCATCCCTGCCGTGTGTGTGTGTGTGTGTGAGAGAGAGAGAGAGAGAGAGAGAGAGAGAGAGAGAGAGAGAGAGAGAGAGAGAGAGAGAGAGAGAGAGAGAGAGAGAGAGAGAGAGAGAGAGAGAGAGAGAGAGAGAGCGGCCTGTGATGAGATCTTCGACACGTTGGCGTTTACAGTTAGTGCCCGTAATTAAGAAGACCTTGGGAATATTGAAATGCAGGCTCAAATACAGACAAATTGAACCATAAGACCGGGTGCTCAGTAAAGAAGCCAACATTGCTGTACCCTACATAGTCGCTGTTGGGGTACCCCATAGACCCATAGAGAGAGTCGACCCTGGGCGAAAACAAGAAGTTTTTGAGGGTTTTGAGTGCGGGCGATGTTTGTGGTACTCTCTTGCACGCATGTATCGAAACCGTTCGCGTGGTCCTTGGTGTGGACGTTCGGTGTGTCCCCCTTTCCTCAGGCAGCCATTTTTTTGTTCTTCTTATTCGCCACCGTGGCTGCGGTGCGGAAGCCACTGGTGCGGACGTTGATGCAATTTTCGTTCTTGCGTGGATTTTCGGTCGTCCATCGCAGATACTTGGCGGTGTTGTCGACCTGGATAGTCATCCCTGAAAAATACTGTTTGACCTAGCTAATTGGCTAGATCACGCAGAGGTGGCATGGCAACGACGCCTTTGCCAAGTAACATCAAGCCCGTCGGGAGGGGGGAGAAAGAGAGAGACAGAGAGAGACAGACAGACAGATGAGAGATTGTGAAGAGCGTGGCGTGGGAGCTCCGCGTGTGTTCACAGGCATTCTGAAGAGACGGGGAGGGAATGAGGGTATTGGTCGTGTGTGTGGTTGTACGAGGCAGAGAACGTGAAAGGCGAGCATTCACCGCGGCGTTTGTGAGTTTCGTGTAGAGGCGAGCATCTGTTTTTGAGAGGAGGACAACAGCAGCTACCCGCGTGATGACTAACCGAAGCTTCCCCCCTGCTCCATTCCAACCTTGCGCAGGCCCCCGCCCCCGCTCCCGTCCCAGCAAAGAGCCCGGTGTTCGGCAGCGGCGGCGCCGGCTCGCTCGTTTTCGGGTCCGGGTCTCTGGTAGACCCCACCTCCGCTGAGAAGAAGGGGGCCGGAGGAGGGGCTGCGAAAGCGTTCGGTTGGGGTGGGTTCGGTGCGAAGCCGGCGTTCGGCGCTGGTTCTTCCTCTCCGTTCGGGTCGTTCATGTCGCCGCCCGCGGCAGGCGCGAAGGCGCAGGCGACGGCTGGATTCGGCAGCTTCGCGTCATCGACGGCTCCCGCCGGAGGCGGGTTCGGGTCGCTTAGCAAAGGGGCCGGTCTGTTCGGCAGCGCGAGCGGCGGCGACGCTCGTGCTCCTAAAGGAGGGGCGGAGAAGAAGACCGCGGCGGCACCGGCAGCGGCGGCACCGGCGTCTACTTATCCCCCCATGAGCGCCAAGGCCCCTTCCGCCTTCGGAGAAGTGGCGAAGAAGAAGAACCCGCCGCCGGCGGCAGCAGCCCCGGGGTACCCGCCTATGAGTGCCAAGGCCCCCGGTGTGTTTGGCGCGCCTGCCCCCGCTCCTGCCGCAGCTGCTGCCAAGAAGCCCGCCGCAGCCTCGGGGTACCCGCCCATGAGCGCCAAGGCGCCCGGGGTGTTTGGCGCTCCTGCCGCAGCTGCTGCCAAGAAGCCCGCCGCAGCAGCCCCGGGGTACCCTCCTATGAGCAGCAAGGCCCCCGGGGTGTTTGGCGCTCCTGCCCCCGCTCCTGCCGCCGCTGCTGCCAAGACGCCCGCCACTGCAGCCCCGGGGTACCCGCCCATGAGCAGCAAGGCGCCGACCACTTTCGGGGCGACGCCGGCGGCGGCGGCCCCTGCCACGGCGAAGAGCAAGCCGCTCGCCGCAGCAACGCCGGCTGCCGGCTACCCGCCGATGAGCTCCGCGGCTCCCTCGGTGTTCGGGGCGGCGAAGGCGGCGGCGAAGGCGGCGGCGAAGGCGCCGGCAAAGGCGCCGGCGTACCCGCCCATGAGCGCCGCCGCGCCGTCGGTGTTCGGCGCTGATGCCGCCAAGGATCCCGCCAAAGGAAGCGGCGGTGCCGCCGCCAAGCCGCTAGCGTTCGGAGGGACCGCCGCTGCCGCTGCCACTCCTGCTGCGACGGGCGGCGGCTTCTCGTTTGGGTCACCGAAGGGGACGGTCGCGGGCGCGCCGCCGAGCTCGGGGTTTTCCCTCGGGTCCCCGCAGGCGAAGGCTAAGCAGCCGGCGCTCTCGTTTGCGGCGCCAACGGCGTTATCAACCGGCGCCCCGGCCCCGGCGGCGACCTCTTCAGGGTTTTCTTTCGGGGGGGGGGCGCCGCCGCCGAAGGCCTCCGGGGCGTTTTCTTTTGGGTCGCCGAAGGGAGCGAGCTCGAAGGCGGGGACGGGCTCGACGGGGTTCTCGTTTGGCTCCCCCAAGGCGAAGTCTAAAGCGCCGCCGGCAGCCCCTGCTGTCGCCGCGGACGCCAAGAAGACGTCGTCGTCGTCTGCGTATCCGCCCATGAGCAGCACCGCTCCCTCCGTGTTTGGAGCAACAGCTAAGCCGCCGGCCAAACCGGTGGCGCCGGCGAAGCCGTCGGCAGCAACCACCTCTGGAAGTGGTGGTGGTGGTGGTGGTGGTGGTGGTGGTGGAGCATATCCGCCCATGAGCGTCGCGGCCCCGTCGGTGTTCGGAGCGCCGGCGGCCGCCGCAAAGCCGGCGGGGGCGACGCCGGCCGTGGCTCCGGCGAAGTCGGCGACACCGGCGCAGGTCGCGTTCAAGAAGGGCACTGCCGCTGCTTCCTCTCCATACCCACCAATGAGCAAGACTGCACCGGCGGTTTTCGGATCTTCTGCTGCTCCTGCTGCTTCTGCAGCAGCAGCACCGAAGAAACCCGCCGGCGGGGGCGGAGCCGGCGGCGCCTACCCGCCGATGAGCGCGAAGGCTCCGGCGGTGCTCGGGTCCGCGAAACCGCAGCCCACCGCCGCTGGTACGAAAGCTGTTGCTGCGCCGTCTGGCTCGAAGCCGTCTGCTCCCCCTCCTCCCTCGTCGTCGGCGTCGGCGTACCCGCCCATGAGCATGAAAGCGCCCGCCGTTTTCGGCGGCAGCACCACCGCCGCCGCCGCGCCAGCGCCAACCAAACCAACAACCACGGCGAAGCCAGCCTCGTCGGGCGGGTATCCCCCCGTGAGCACGACGGCGCCTTCGGTGTTCCGAGCGCCTGTAGCAGCGGCAACGGCGGCGGCAACGGCGACATCTTCGACCCCCCAGGCCAAGAACACGGCTCCGGGGCTGTTCGGCACCGGGAGTAGTAACCCGTTCGGCGGCGCGAAGCCGGCCGCCAGCATCTTTGCTTCGACGTCTGGGGCGCCGTCTTCCACGGCGTTCGGGGGGACATCGAAGCCGACGTTTGGCGGTAGCGGCGTGGGTGGCGGCTTTTCGGGCTCGTTGAGCTTCGGGCAGCCGCAGCAGCAGCCGTCGCAGCAGCAGCAGCAGCAGCAGCAGAAGCCCACTCCGTCTGCGGCTACCCCGGCCGCCGCCGCTGCTGCTATCCCGGCTGCCAAGGGCGCGGCGGGTGGTGCAGGAGCGCCTCACGCGTCGTCGTCGGGCGGCCTCTTCGGCGGTGCGTCTTTGGCAGCAGCGGCGTCCGTTCCCCTGCCGACCGAAAAGAAGGCGGCAGCGACGGTGGACGTCCGTTCCGCTGCTTCGGTGTTGCCAGCGGCAGCGGCGGCGTTGGCGCGGATCGGAGGGGGCCGCAGAGGGAGGGGCAAGAACGAAGCGAAGGAATGGGAGCAGGACTTCGGGGGCGGGGACGACGACGACGAAGACGAAGGCGAGGAGTTCGGGGTGCCCGAGATCCCAGGGATGAGGTCGCCGCGCCGGCCGCAGTCGGTGGGAGGACGGGAAGGCGGCGGTGTCGCCGCGCCAGGTACAGGACCACACCATGTCTTGTGTGCACAATCGTGTTTGCTTGCCACTGAGTGTTCCTGCCCGCCCCACCCCCCTCGTTGTTTGAGCACTTGCTGGTTTCTTCGCAGAGTAATGTGCTTGTTTCGATCTGAGCGTTCCCTCTCCTTGGCGCACCCACTCCTTTCCAATCATGGTCATGCATGCGATTGTGCATTGTTTCCTGCGGACGCAGTTGTCCCTCTAGATGTACGGCGTGGTGGATGATGTAGTGACTTTTAGGAGCCCACTGGAACTCCCCGCCAACCTCCTGTGGCCAAGAAATACTGATACGAGGTCTCAGGACAATCCCCTAGCAACACCGCAGTATGGTCTCAGGACAAGCACCAGCAACATCGCAGTATGCCTCCCATGTGCGTGCCCCCCGAACGAACCGGCCGGCAGCGGTGCGAAGAGCGGTTCCGTCTACAGCGGCGGAAGGCATCGCGTGGAAGAACGTTCTCGAGGTTCTCGAGCACCTTAGGGACCTGCAGGGGCAGGGCGAGGCGGGGCTGCTGCGAGACCCGGCGTGGAAGGACGGCATGGAGAGGGGCATCTGCGGGCTGCGGGACACCGTCGGCAGGTGAAAGTTGTGGAGAGCGAGCAGAGAGACGGAGACATGAGGCAGAGGCAGGCCGTAGTAGAGGTGGAGGTGGAGAGAGAGGGAGAAACAGGGAGTACAGTCAGAGGAATAGAGACGGGGAGGGAAGGGAACGGAGGCTTAGATTAGATATTGTTTCTGCCTATTTTTTTTTGTTTTGTTATTTTCTGGTGTGTTGGCGAGCGTAGGTTGAGTTTGCAAGAGGGGACAAGGCCGAGGGATGGGGTTCCTGGTCACGCTTTTCTTTACTGCCGCGTGCTAGAGCCCCACGCACGCGTGCCGTAGATGCCATGGCCCTCCCAACAAGCTGCTGCTGCTGCCGTTGCTGCTGCTGCCGTCGTCGTCTGTGTGTTGCGTGTTGTTCGGCGCCTCATCCCGCCCTGCCCTCCCCGGAGAGAAGGCTTCGAGAGGCGGTGAGCAAGCTGAGTCAAAACACCGCCGCCCAGGTGGAGGAGATGGCCACGCTAAAGGCCAACAACAAGGACATCAAGTGGCAGGTGGGCGTTTTTCGCGTGTTGGTACTGTCTTGATGTTGTTGCAGGAGTACCGCACAGCTGCTGGCTGTCGTAAGAAAGCAGGATGTTTCTCCATCGTCTCTCTCGGCGCTCCTCAGCTCCTCTCTCTCGACGCCTGACAGCATAGCATATTCTTTCCCAACACAGTCTTCTCGATAATAGTTCCGATTCTGCGGAGCTCTCCGGTGCACATTGCAAGCTATGATGGGCACACTATGATGGTCACACCCTGGCACGCATTTTCATCGATCGACGACGTGGGAAGACGCTCTTCTTCCCATCACTCCCTTTTCCCCCCACCACGCCGTCTATTCTGTCGCTGCCGTACGGTCTCACTCGTTTATCATCTGTCTTCCACAACATTCACGGTATTTTTTCCCGTCTGGACGCGTGGACGTTTTTGGTGTATTCGACTCTTCTTCTCTAAGAGCCACCGCGCCGCACTCTGTCTGTCTGTCTGTCTCTCTCTCTGTCTCGTTCTCGCATTGTAGTCGATCGACATCATGGATGAATGGGCACTAGTACACCTACCTTCTCCTCCCACCAGTCCTCCACCAAGCCCTCTCTACTATCCTCATCACTGTCTATCGGACTCACTATTTCGTTTGTCTTCAACTGCACACACAGCTGATTATTCTTCTGCTCCCGTTGCCACCGCCGACGTGTATGCATACATAAATGCGATGCTTTGATCTCCTCTTGGAAATACTCCGATTTTTAACAATCAACAAGAAGGCAATCGGTTTCTCTTCGTTCGGCCGCGGCGGGAAGCGCCAATGACCCGAAAATCTACCGTAGTCATTCAGGGACACCGGATTGACGGGCAGGGCGTACCCCGTGTTTTTGTCATTGATGGCAGTATAAACAGTGTCAGACAAACAAGGCGTTTTTGCCTCCGTCCTCGTCCCGGGCCACATGAGGTATAAAACGGTAGACATGGCCATCATGGTGACGACGCGGCAAGCGCGGTAGAATTTATAGTATTCTCTTCCAGATGAAAGTCTACATGCGAACGCCCGGCCTTTTAGTGGTCGTTCAATTAGGTTCGTTCTCCATTCAGCACAACGCAGCACAGCAGTGAGTGGTAAGTGCGTTTTTCACCTACTGCTTGACCTCGGCTCTCTATGTTGACTTTTCCCTTGGAATCGCTCAATTTTGGCGGTGGCGCGAAGGTGCAGAAAACAACCAACATTTAAGGGCGTTGGAAATCAAGCGTCCGAGTCCAATCCATTCCTCTCTTGTGTGTGCGTGTTTCTCTTATTAGCAACGACGGCGCTAACCGACTGACCAGAAAAGACGTCAGTCCCAGTGCGGTTGAAAACACGAAACACTTCTAAATTCGTGTTTGTTTTCTTATCTGCGTCGACCGCGCTAGTGTAACCTGCTGGCCAATGAAAATACGTCAGTCTCAGTGCGATTGAAACACAACATGTGTGTGTGTGTGCTTTTGTTTTGCTGATCCCTGATTTCCTGATTTCCGGATTCCTGATTTCTTGATTTCTTGATTTCCGGATTCCTGATTTCCTGATTTCCTGATTTCCGGATTTCCTGATTTCCTGATTTCCTGATGTTCGGTTGCGGACACAAGACCACGACGGCCCAAGACCTGCTGAAGTACGAGGCCGGCGAAGGGGAACGGCGGGAGGAAGGGGAGGATGATGGAGGTGGCCTGGACAACGGCAGAGACACTCTGGATGCGGACTTGGTCGAAATTCGAAAGCGGATCAGGGAAAACGTAAGGAGGCTCCAATACGCACGCCATTTCCGTCTTGACCGTTGGATTCAATACCTACCGCAGTGAATAAATGCCTTGCTTAAGAATACCGCATTTGTTCGATGTTCACGACAAGGAAGTTTTCACTGGTGTTTGGCTGTTGCCGAACGCCGCACACAGGCGGGTGACGATTTGAATAGCGATCCGAGTCGCGGTTTATGTGCTTGTTTTTTGTTGTTTTCAAGCTTTCATCAGGAGCATGTTGTGGGCAGCGCTACGTATCACAGCTTCTTGCTGCACTTTTTTTTTTTTTCTTTCGAGCACAACCAGCCGTTTCGCATGCACGCAATAGGTCTACGGTTTGCGCTTTTCGCGGAAGCAAGTCTACAGGGAGAACGCAATGCACGGGCAGCGGTTTTCGTCTCGAACGAGGCGTGGTTTTTCGGGTTGCTGGTGCCGGTGTTGGTGCTGGGTTGCGGATGCAGTACTACTTCGGCGCTGCTGCTGTACGTTGCTGTTCACTCCTCGCCTTGCCTATTCCTTTTGCCTGCCCCTCCCGGTCCCCGTTCCACTCCTTCGCCCCCCCCCTCAATGGTCTAACCACTTAAGGCATGCCACACAAGAGAGTTCGCACCCCGCCAATCTCTGAATTTTTTCGATGCCAACTTTTTCAGAGGAGCAAGATCGAAGCAGCCAAGTCCGACCTCAACGCGACGCTCAAGAGCCGTCGGGAGCGCGGACCCGACGTCGCCATCAACCCCGCTGCAAACGGCCGCGGCGCCAACAGCCAATCAGCGACGAGGACGCCCCAGGGGCCTCCGTCCCGGCACGCCGCCGTAACTCCGGCGTCATCGCGGCGGGAAGCGGCATCCCCGCTGCCAGGGTCGGCGAGGTCAAGGGCCGGCGGTGGCGGGCATGTTCGCGGGGGAGCGATTCACGGCGTTTTGCCCCGGACACGGCGTGGCGCTAGGGGCGGCGGCGGCGGTGACGCTACCGAAGCAGCGCCGGTGCCGGTGTGTGACCCCTGGGACTATTTTCGTCTTTGTGCAACCCGTTGTTTGGGTGTTGGCTGCGGTGCCCGCTTGAGTAGCTCACGTTGTTGTAAAGGGGTGTTGTACATGCCGGTTGTAATGTAATTGTTGTCTTGGTTCTCAGCAGAAACGAAGGGAGAAGGAACCTCCCGAGACACCTCTTCGGATGCCAAATACCAGCTTGTGTGTCTGGTATTACGAAGCGTTGGGGCTCTTTTGTGTTCTTTGCTTTCTCCGGACCTCACCCGTTTTTGTGGAGGACATTCCGTTGACCACCTTCGTGGCGTATTTACAAGTGTGTACATGATTGCCCCAACGCACCCCGTCGGTTTCCCTTCCGCGCTGGCCCCGGCACGCCTCAGTAACGTCTAACGTCTCGCGTGGACGTCCAGCCTTCTCGCGCGCTCCATCCGTTCCTCCTCATCCCCGCCCCTCTTGTATTCCTTTTTCTGTATCGTCGACCACCGGTACCTACCGCCACATGCTCCCGCGGCCGGCGAAACCTTCTTGCTTCACAGGGAACCGCCGGCTCCTCTTCCTCGTTCGCTACCCCGGAGCGTGGCGTAGCCCCGCCAAGCGCCGCCTCCCAACGGAGACGCTCCCTCGGCGTCGGCGGCGGCACGCCGTCCGCGTCGGTGCCGTCCCCTTCTCCCGGCTCCACGGTGAGCAGTCGGGCATCCCGCCGGCGCGTGAGCGTCGCCGGCGGTAGTAGCGGCGGGGGTGGGGTGGTGCCCGGCGGCGGCGACGGCGGGGAGTTGGTGGTGGCGGCGGCGGCTGAACGGCCGGGGCTTAGGCTCATGCGGATCGTTGGGTCGCAGTACGACGCCACGGATGGCGTGGAGGCCATGGTGGCTAAGGCGGAAGCCAAGGTCAAGGTGAGAGAGACGGCGTTATCGATGCACCGAGAGTGTTTATTTTCGAGTGTCCATTTGAAGGTGCTCGATGTCGTGTTGGTTTTTTATCCAGCGAGGGGGTTGGTGAGTTGATTCGAGGTGCTTTTCCGCTGGTGCCTCGAAGGCTTTGATATGCAATGCTAGCCAGGCGTTGGGGATATAACTTTCAGACTCCTTTTCGTCACTATTGATCTGTGGTATGATGCGTTCATTGGCGTACACGCGTTCGGGTTGACGGCGAGCAAAGCAGGGGCGGGCTTTGGTCGTGTGTACCCTTTGTTTTTTACTCTTGTGGCTCTTGGGAATTCCCCAACCCACCGCTTGGATTGTCAGCGTGGTTGCTGTGTTGTAATGTACTAGAGAGATTCTCCGCTTGGCTCATGGCGACGTTTAGAAGCGTCATCGTTCCTTCTATTTTATCCAATGTTCGATTTTCTTTTTCTTCTCTACAGTCTACTCCTTTCGCCGACGTTTTCCTGTTTCATTCTCAATGCTTGATTCTCTCTTCCTTTATTTTGTCGACTTCCTCCGCACACTCCGTACACCCCCGCGAACATGCGCAGCAACTCGAGCGCGCGGCGGCGACAGTGGCGGCGACAACGGCGTCGGCAACGGTGGCATCCAAGTCTGGCCGTGCCGGGCGGACCACGTTGTTATCATCATCATCATCGGCGTCGCCAGGAGAAGGAGGAGAAGGGGCGCTAGGCTCGTCGTCGACCTTGGCGATGATCGCCATCGGCGGCAAGGAGCGGGAAGACGCCCTGGCCCGGGGACGGCGGCTCCGGCGAGAGCGGGAAGGGTTGGCGCTCCTGGCGAAGGAGACGGCGAGGCTCTCGTTCTCCTTCCCCATTCGTGAGGTACGCGTCTGATGTTGTTGTTGTTGTTGTTGTGTTTGTGCGTGCGTTTTTCAATTGTGTGTCGGCCTCGCTGCCATCGATCCGTGCGGGGGGTGAAGTCGTGTGTGCATCTGTGTGTGTGTATGTGTGTGTGTTTTTTTTTCATGGGTGGTAACTATCGGCCTTTCTGCGATCGGTTATTGCTGGAGGTGTAGTCGTGTGTGCGCCTGTGTTGTTTCTTTCAAAAACGGGCCGGCCTTGTTGCGATCGGTTTGTGCGGGGGGTGAAGGTGTGTGTGTGTTGCGTATTTGGTGTCGTTGAGGGCATGTCCTTGTTCAGAGATAGCGGCAGGTGGACGGATCCTGGCGAATCTTGTGCGGGCTCGGGGTCGGCCGTGCGTACGCAATGCTGGTTCGATTCGATAGGAGCCCGCGGTGCTATCGTTTCGACCCTCCTCCGTGTGTGCGTCGGTCATTAGAGTGAAGTTGTTCGTATACCTTTGCCCACAGCTTTTGTTGTCCACCGAACCATACCAAAGACACCCAGTGCGTGTACAAGGCGTGCGAGTGCTGTTTGTCTTTTTCTAGCGACGGTCATTTTCACTCCTTCGGCGCAGCATGGCATATCTCCTGGACCAATGCAGTTCGAGGGGTGGAGGGTTTACAAAACCACAACACACGCGTTCTTCGGCTCGGCGGCGTTTTTTTTGTTTTGTTTCTGTGCCCAGGCAACAAATGGCATAGCGGCAATGGCAGGATGTCAACCGCCCCCTCCCTGATTGGTCACTCTTTTGTTGTTTTTTGTGTCGTCCCGAACACGACGTGTGCCCGCCCGCAAGATGTCTTTCACCTGAACCTCAACCTCCCGGTGTTCTGGACCTGCAAACAACAATGTTGTCTGGGTGTGTCATCCAGGTCGGCAGGACGGTGACCCAGGATGAGCTTGCCAAGAAGTTGGGCAACAAGCCGAGCACCATCGCCACGCCACAGCAGCAGCAGCAGACGCCTTCGCGCCTGGTCACGTCCGGGCGAGGGCCGGGGTCAGTCCACCAGCCGTCGTCAGCGTCCTCCAGGTATGAAATCTCCTTTCCCACCGACTCGCTCCCGACATCGTGAGACACCGGTACGTATAACTCCACTCGCTTCATGTTCATGCCATGCCGAACGAGTCGCAGTATTTTACCGGAGCGACACACACCGGAATTTGTTATTTTCCTCTTCGCTCCGTGGAATCCACGCTCTGCGACACACGCATCACCCCCCGCCCCGCGCGTCTTCCATTTCGCTTTCTGTTCGGACAGGAGGGGTCTGGTATCCGCGTCGCCGTCCATGGGTGCGGCGGGAGCGGTGGCGGCGGCCAAGATCAGCGGCGCCGGCAACGCCACCGCCGCCGCCGCCGCCACGCCCTCACGTGGCTTCGGCAGTGTGTTTTCGTCGCCGAAGCCGACGCCCACGGCCGCCGCTGCCGCAGCAACGGTTCCGTCCGGCGCCACCACCACCACCGCCGGCGGGGGACAAATGACGAGGACGACGTCGGTCCTGGATGCCGGGTCGGGCCAAGGAGGGGGTGTCCGTCGAGAGAGATCGGGGGGGTTCGCCACCGGCACCAGCGGCGGCGAAACCCAGCGGACTTCCCCCGCGACGTTCGCCTTCGGCTCGGCCGCGGCCGCGGCCGCTCCGGCGGCGGTGGCGGCGGCGGCAGCGGCATCTTCGAAGCCGGCGACGGTGGCGACGCCTTCGGCGCTGCTGTTCGACTCAGCCGCCGGCGCCGCGGCGAAGAAGACGGCCCCTGCTGCTCAGGATAAAAAACCTGCGCCCCCGCCAGCCCCCGCCGCCGCCGCCAGCGCCACGAAGAGCAGCAGCAGTAGCTACCCGCCGATGGCCGCGACGGCGCCGAGCGTCTTCGGGGGCGCCAAGAAAACACCGACTCCTGCTGCTGCTCCTGCGGCTCCCGCGACGGCCCCCGTCCCTGCCGCTGTTGCTCCTGCTGCTGCTGCGAAGCCAGCAAAACCTGCGGGAGGAACCTCAAGATTCCAACCCATGAAGAAAAAGGCCCAGACAGTTTTGAGTTGGTAGAAATCTTGTTATGCCGCAGCAGCAGCAAAGGCGCCGGTCAAGGTTGTAAAAATCACCCAATCGACTCCTGTC